GAAAATGAAGATCTCAAATAATAAAACAAAACTTTTGTAGCTGCTAAAGAGACACAAAGCAGTTGCGGACCCTGTCGCCAGACCATTTATTTCAACAAACATATATATGTGAATTTAAGGTATTTTATGCACGTTGTTTACCTGTAGAAACCTGCTTTGTTTAAACATCCAAAATCCCTGAGACTGCTACTGGGTGCCGCCATTTAGGATGTGATGTCAGCACCCCCAGCAGACACTGTTTATTATTCCCCTTCACGCTTCACTTTGTTTTTTTCTGAGCCCCCCTTCCCCATCTCAGTTTTTATTACATGTTGATCCTACTGGTAGACTTATAATTTTTCCACTTCCTGTTAGAGGGCGACAACGCTGTTTATTCAGGAGTGAAATACCTGAAACATTAAGTCCAAGGTATATCCCACCGCACTCCTGACCGGAAACAAACCCAAAGCTCGGGCGGGTGCCGATGCGACCGCAGATGCCTCCGCCAATAGTACAAAATCGATGAATGGTCACTCGCACTCCAACTTGATGCAAAGTCAATACCTTTACTGACTGGGATAGTGTCACATTTATAGTGACGTTTCGGAACCAAGTGGCTCCTTCTTCAGGCAAACATAAAGGTTTTTTATGTTTGCCTGAAGAAGGAGCCACTTGGTTCCGAAACGTCACTATAAATGTGACACTATCCCAGTCAGTAAAGGTATTGACTTTGCATCAAGTTGGAGTGCGAGTGACCATTCATCGATTTTATACCTGAAACATTGTCTCCCTGTAGACAGGCTAGTCTTATATGGACTTTTAGATACAAGTAAGCAACATCAAATTTAAACACAACTTTTTCAGCAACAGTTTAAACCATTTGCATAAAAGCTTACTGTTGTAAGCACCCTCAGCTGTTCTATGGTTGATTCTAACCATTGTAATTGTCACTTTTCTGGACAGCTTGGCATGCTTGTAAGCCTTTGAGATAAAAATAAAAAAACTTTAAAATATTGTGGTTCCAAATCATAGAGAAGACCTATATTAGTTATAATGTATTACAAGTTACCGTTTCTTACAATGAGAAAAAGCGAACTATTATAATAATCTGACTTAAAATACAGGCTATGCTAGGTGATGCTCTAATGATTCATCAGATATACTTACGTCTGTCCTAAGTGATGTGGGTGGTTGAGGTCTTCATTCGCTCGGGTCAGATTGTAATGCTCTGTAACATTTGATGGTCGTCTTTATCTTAGTTATTGTAAAAAAAAAAAAAGGAAAGCCCTGTCTTTACTTAAGTTCTCTGAAATGACTCAATCTGAGCATTGGCTAATACCACGGAAGCAGAACTGCTGTCATATTTTTTGTGCCTGGTTTACTTTCTGGCTGAGCCTGCATTTCCCAGATGTGTTCGTGCTGGAAATGCTTTTCACCCAAATTCACCTAAGACGTGACACGTGCGGCGTAGCCCTGTAAAACCACAGGCTGTTGCTGCGCAGTACGGGTTTGAGATGTTGACGGTATAAACGGTATCCCTCTGACACGCAACACAGCTGCTAATAGTTTAGTAATAGAGCTTGAGAGTGGAAATATGACTGATGGTCATTATTGACTCTTCCATCATTCTTCTTTTTTTAAACATTCTGTTTTATTGAATTTGTAAATTGTTATATTATACAGGATTTATATAGCGCCAACTGTGTGCGCAGCGCTTTACAATATAAGGAAGACATTACAATCACAATACAATTAAAGACAAGATGGTAAGGAGGGCCCTGCCCCTGAGGGCTTACAGGCTAAAGGGAGGGGCCAGTGATACATGAGGAGGTAGCTGTGTGGCAACAAATTATTTGAGAATGTGATAGTTCAGTGGTTAGGTTGCGGTCTGATAGGCTTCCCCGAAGAGATGAATCTTTAGTGATCGCCTAAAGGCAGACAGAGTAGGAGATAGACAGACAGGTTCAGGTAAAGAGTTCCAGAGGATGGGAGAGACTCTAGAGGTGTCCTGGAGGTGTGCATGGGAGGAGTTGATGACGGAGCTAGAAAGCAGGAGGTCATTGGCAGAGCGGAGGGGACGGTTAGGGTGATGTTTTGAGACAAGGTTGGAGATATAGCCGGGGGCAGAGTTGTGGATGGCTTTGTAAGTGGTTGTAAATATTTTGAATTTTATCCTTTGGGCTATTGGAAGCCAGTGGAGGGATTGGCAGAGAGGGGTGGAGGTTGGAAGCCAGTGGAGGGACTGGCAGAGGGGGGGTGGAGGATGGAAGCCAGTGGAGGGATTGGCAGAGGGGGGTGGAGGATGGAAGCCAGTGGAGGGATTGGCCGAGGGGGGCCGAGGGGTGACCGTAGCGATCATTTCATCTAAGGAAAAGGCTGTGGGGATCGGTCTAGCAACCTGGAGGGGGCCAACAGGACTGAGGATCAGTTAAGTTAAAGTGCTGTACTCCAGTCCTCTGATCATAAAGGTGCACTTAACCCTTGCAAAGCCAGGGTAGCCCCACTACAAATGGTTTTCTCCAACAGGGGCTTGAGCTGTAATGCCCCCCTCCCTAGGAGCCCATATTTGCCTTCCCTTTGCCCCCTCACCCTTGCATTCAGCTGTAAGAAAAGGCTTGTGTAAGCTACAAATCCCTGGAGTCGGGCTACAAACTCTGACAGTACGGACTGGGTAAATCACATGCTCCTTCATATCTGCAGGGTATTTTCTTTGCTGCTGGCATCTGAATGGAGTTTTAGGGAATGAGGAAAGGGTAAGTATTGCTGCTGGGTTCACCGATGGATCAAAGCTGGCCATACACTGACTGTTCCCCCATCCATGCTAATCAACATGATTGGCTGCAGTTACAGTTCGGCCAAGTTTGAAGGACGTTCTGAGTTGAATGACGGCCATTGTTGTTC